GAGCACACAGATTTCTGTTGGGAGGGACTTGAGTAGTGGCGGTGATGTTCGTCACCTCAGCCATGAGTGCGGTGGGTGCGGGGTAAGGGGTGGGGGCAAGAGTCGGAGCCTGTGCCGACGAGAATGGAGGGAGGCAGAAGCCGCAGCCGAGGGCTTAGCGGAGGCGAGGTGCAGTGGCCGCTGGAAGAAGCTATTTCCGCCTGTTCCTCATGGACGATGGTTAGGGACGTCCTTTGATCCTCCAAAGCCCTCAAAACAGCATCAGTGAATTGATGGCTTGGAAAGCCAGGTTAAAATGGACTGAAGAAAGAGCCATCCTAAGGATCAGAGCCTGCTCGAAAAGGAATGAGACAAACCAGTCGAAGAAGTCGCTGGTCAGTTAGTTTTCAGCCTGGCCAAGGTCATTAAGTAGCAACAGCCCATTTGTGACCTACCCCATGTAAGAAACACATTACAGTCATTTGAATTGTATGTCGTGTCATTAAAACAAAACAAAACAACAAAACAAAACAAGCTTCCCAGAAGGCTCTGCCGGGCCTGGCCGGGAACCGCTGCTTGCAGCCATTGCCCCGCCGGCGTGCGTGAACACCCCTGTCCAGCCACTGCCCTGGCTCCCCGGTCTTGCCTCCCACTGCTGTGTGGCTCCTGGCTGGTGCCTCGGCACTCCAAGGCCTCACCGTGGCTCTTCCATCACCTCCCCAGACTTCTTCCAGGGCAAACACTTCTTCCTCTACGGGGAGTTCCCTGGGGACGAGCGAAGGACGCTCTGCCGCTATGTCACAGCCTTCAATGGGTCAGTCTCTGGGGGTGGGACTGGGGTGGGGAGGGGTGCTGGGTCCAGGGGACAGGGTGTGGCAGGTTGCGGGAAGGAAGGCGGTTGGGAGGATGGGGAAGGGGCGGACCCTGCAGGAGGGCACGGGCCGTGGAATTCAGTGCCAGCGCTGCTGCACGGCTTCCCCTCGGCTGCTGCTTCTCTCAAGGGAGGCTCCCCGCCTTCCTCCTGAAAGGGTCCATGACAGTGGGAACTCCTGGTAGGGTGGCTGTCGCAAGACTGGCACATGGGAGGGTGGAGGATCCACAGGCGGCCTCTAGGGGACATAGGTGGGGATAGGAGAGGACTGCCTTTGAGAAGGGTTGGCGAGGGGGATGTCAGCAGAAGGGACACCGATGTTCGGCTTCTTTTCTTCTGCCGCCAGGGAGCTGGAGGACTACATGAGCGACCGGGTCCAATTTGTGATCACAGCACAGGAGTGGGACCCCAGCTTTGAGGAGGTGGGTCCGCAGGGGCAGGGAAAGGGAGGCCTAGCCTGCCCTTGAGCCCCCTTTATCCTCTCCTCTCTCACACGTGTCCCCTGTCCCTCTGCAGGCCCTGATGGACAACCCCTCCCTGGTGTTCGTCCGCCCGAGGTGGATCTACAGTTGTAACGAGAAGCAGAAGTTACTTCCTCACCAGCTGTACGGCGTGGTGCCCCAGGCCTGAAGTACGTGCTTGTGCACACATGCGTGTGTGCGCACTGCCCCCCCCGCCCCGCCCCAGTTTAATAAAGCTGACTTGGTTTGCGGCTGCTGCCTCTCTCACTCAGGAGTCCCCAGAACCTCCAAGAGGCTCCCAGCTGCCTGTCTTATCTCTGGATTTTGCTTCTCCCCTCTGGGCCAGGTCTCTGGCTGCCTGAGACTCTTATCCTGGGGTCCAGGAAAGAATGGGGGTCTCTCTGTCAGGGCCCTGGTAGGGAAGAAACTGTTTGTCATTCCTCCCTGTGGTGGCAGCTGCCAGGGGGTTGGGAATCGGACACTCAGCTGACTCTGACCCTCTGAGTGTGTTCTGGGTCCCTCCGTGCTCGGTGGGTCCTGGGCTGGAGTCCTGGCTGCTCATGAGGTGTGCCTCTCGAAGTCGCAGCTCCCCTGACCAGGGACATTTCTTTCTACAGGGTTTCCAGAAGTAGCTCTGTAACCGTCACCAGCATGGTTTTACGTCATCGCCTCATTGGGGAGGTGGGAGGGGGAAGGGGCATTTTAATCAAGCCTCCTGAATCCTGAACCCCTTCAAGGCTCCACCACGTTTAAGGTGGGACCCGATCTGGGTGTTAGAGGATCAAGGCAGAAGATGCGGTGGCGTTCCAGGCAGGGGCTGTGGCGTGGCCCGAGGCCCGGAACTGAGAACTAGCCTGGTGTCTGGGCAGAGTGGAAGGAGCATTGTCACATTTCGTAAAGAGGCTTTCGGGGCAGATCTGGCTGGAAAGGTGGGCACAGTCCTTGCAGCTGTACTGCCCAGTGCGATAGCCAATGGACATGGGTGGCTATTTGAATTACTGTGAAATGAAAGGAAAAATTCACTTCCTCAGTCACACTGGCCCCATTTCAGTGCTCAGTGGCCACTGCACTGGACAGCAGTGATAGAACATTTCCATCACTGCAGGAAGCAAAAGGACAGGTCTGTCGCAGCAGGCAGAGGACCTTGGACTGTTCCGGGGGTAGGGGGGTCATGAAGGAGTTTGAGGGACGCAAAGGGCTGGGGCATCTGGGTTTGAGATCTGCCCTTTGGGTCATCTTTTATTGGACATTCCAAGCCCTTTCCCAGCTTTTGCCCCATCAATAAACCAAGGGCCACCAATCTTAACCCTTTCCCTTTCTTGACCTTTGCATCCTCATCTGGAAGATGAAGGTGGTATTAGGTTCTGCATCCACTCATTCATTTTTCGTTCATTCAGGCGTGTACTGATTACTGTATTACTTCCTGCTCTTGCTGTAACAAATTACCACAAACTTGGGGTCTTAAAACAATAGAAATTTATAACCCCCTAGGTCCGATGTCAGATGGACCTCAGCTGGGCTCGAGGGTCATGGGGTAGGCTGGCCTGCGTTCCTTCTGGAGGTTCCAAGGGAGAATCTGCTTCCTCGGCTGCCCCAGCTTTCAGCAGCTGCTCCCACTCCATTCCCCTCCATGGGCAAAGGCAGCGAGGGCCAGGAGAGCCTTTCTCACGGCTCACCACCCAGACACTGACTCTTGCGTCTTATCCTTCCCGTCTGAAGGTTTGTGATTACAAGGAGCCCATATGGATAATCTGGGATAATCTGTTTTAAGGTCAACCGATTAGCAACCTTAATTCCTTCTGCTGCCTTAACTCTTCTCTGCTACATATCACCATATTCGGAGGCTCCAGGGGTTAGGATGTGGACATCCTTGGGAGGCCATTGTTCTGCGTACCACACCCACCATGAGGGAGACACGGGCTGCGGTGTGAAAAACAGACGCAAGTCCTCACTGTCCTGGGGCTGACATTCTGTGGGGGAGAGAGACAGTGAGTGTGTGCTGCACTGTTGGGCCGTGATAAAGGCGAGAGCATAGAGCAGGGCAGCGTTACCCAGTCATGGGAGTGATGGGGCAGGGGGAGGTATTTACAGAGAGTCACAGGAGAAGGTGCCTCAGAGGACTTCCCTCTCTACAGGGACTTGGGAGGGGGTCCGGGTACAGGAGAAGCAAGTGCAAAGGCCCTCTGGTGGGGCCTGTGGGAGGAGCACAGGGCATCAGGGTGTCAAGAGACCTGGGACCCATCCTGACTCAGTACTGACCATTGGTTGCAGGCCACTGCCATCCTGTGGCCTCAGTTTCCCCATCTGTACATGGTGTGTTTGGATCAGATCAAATGAGTCTGTGCCCTTGAAACTTTGATGGCGACATGGTTGCTTTGGAGGAACTCTTCCTGGACAGCTCTGTATGTACACATGGATACATCATGCAGTCTGATTTAGAGGAGGAACCCGAATCCTTACCTGTCCCCAGCCCTCCCTCCAGGCCCTGCTGAGTGGCCTGCAGTCCAGCAGCCTGCTCATTTCTCTACCTGCTTGGTTCCACCCCTTACGCTGGAGACTCCACAAACCATCCCTCAGTCCATCCTCCACACAGGTCAGGTCGCAGCCCAAACATTACTTGCTCAAGCAGGCCTTTCCTAACCTCTGTATAAACGTATACAATACATGATGTGTCATATTTCTAACTTGATTTATGGTCTTTTCCTCTATATTCTTTTTATGTCGTAAAGATACTTTCTCTACTTCTGAGGTTACTAAGATATTCTCCTTCATTCCCATCTAAATAGATGTAAGTTTAGATGTCTCCATTTTAGTTTTGTGCTTCAAATTTAGATTTTAACTCCAAAAACTTATTTTTGTGTATGGTGTGAGGTAGGGATCTGTGTTTTCTATTGCTGTAATAAATTATCACAAGCTTAATGACTTTAAACAATACACATTTATTTTCTTAAAGTTCTGGAGGTCAGCAGTCCAAAATCAGTCTCTGGGCCAAAGTCTTGGTGGCAGCAAGTCTGGGTTCCTTCTAGAGGCTCTATGGGAGAATCATTTTCTCGACTTTTTAGCCTCCAGAGACTGCCGAATTCCTTAATTCCTTGCCTCGTGGCCCTGCATCACTCCAGTCTCCACTTCCATCATCACATCTCTGAATCCTGTTTTCCCGCTTTCCCATGTAAGGAATCTTGGGATTACATTGGGCCCACTGGAATAATCAGGATAACCTTCCCATCTCAAAATCCTTACTCTCATCTACAGAGTCCATTCAGCCATGCGTGAGCTAACACACAGATTCTGGGGATTGGGACGAGGGCAACTGGGGGGGGCCATTATTCTGCCCAGCCACGGTCCCGTTTCATTCTCTTCCATCTCAGCCCACAGATTAGCCTGTCCTTTCCCCAGTGGTCTACGACAGGGGTCGGCACACCGTGGCCCACCTGCTGTTTTTGTACATAAAGTTTTATTAGAACCCAGCCACAGATTCATTAATGTGTCGTCATGTGTGTGGCTGCTTTTGCGCTACAACAGCAGCTTTGGGTAGTTGGGGCAGACGCCGTATAGGCTGCCAAACCTAAAAATATATAGGTCACATACGGCCTTTTACAGAGTTTGCCAACTCTGATCTACAGGTAGGGGTTGTCACATGTCGGAACCAAGGGTCGCCTACTTGTTATTTCAAAATGGACTTAGCTTCTTCACTTTTTTCTCCACTGCTTGATCGGTGCCCACTTCCCTCACTAGACCAGGTCTGTCTTGTTTACTGCTGTGTCCCTAATATCCTGTGCTGGTCCTTGCATACAGTAGGGGCTTAATGTGTAGAACAAAGAGCAGTCCAATGTTAGCTTGATCATCTGATTTTACAGTGGGAGAAACTGGCTGCAAGAAGGAAACTGATTTTGCTGGGGATGATGCTTGCGCCCTTACAAGGGCCCTGTTATCCATAACACTTCCATTTTATAGATGAGGCTTCTCAGTCTAGAGAAGTGACAAAGCTTGTCCAAGGCCCCGGCCCTCATACCCAGTGGGTCAGGGCTGGGTCCAAAGCTTGGGCTTTAACATTTTTTTGAAAGATTTTATTTATTTATTTTAGGGGAAGGGAGGGAGAAAGGAAGAGAAACATCAGTGTGTGGTTTCCTCGCGCATGCCCCGCACTGGGGACCTGGCCCGCAAGCCAGGCACATGCCCTAACTGGGAATTGAACCAGCAACCCTTTGGTTTGCAGGCCAGGACTCAATCCACTGAGCCACACCAGCCAGGGCTAAATTTTTTTTATACTGTCAGTAATATACCCCTAGTTCTTGATTTTTTTCACTTACAATGCTAGGAATCTTTCCATATGGGTATATGTAGGGCTGACTTTTTTCCTACAGCTACATCTTCTATTTTATGGCTGTATTGTAATTAATTAGCTGGTCTCCTATTGATGAACACTTGTGTTGATTCCCATCTTTGGGCACAACCATCATGCTGCGGTGAACATCCTTGCCCTCGTGCTTTACTTGTGCTTGAGTTTATAAATTTCTACAAGTGGAATAGTTGACTTGAGCATGTGTGCATTTAAGGATTTTACAGATACAGTCAAATGGCTAAAATGGAGGCACTGATTTAACTTACAACAATAAGGGCAGAGCCTGTTTCCCCACACTCCTCACCAACCCACGATGCTAACAGACTTCCTACCTTTGCCAAACAAATAGGAAAAACCCGAGCCAGTTCTTTCACACCACAGCTCCAGGTCCACGGTTTGGGGCCAGTTAACTGTCAGTGGGTGACACCTTCCCTTCCCCAAAATGGATAAGCAAAGAGGTCCTTCACCTTTTAATTTAGAGCCCAGTATCAGGAGCCAGCCTTCCTGCCAACCAGAAGAGGCAAGTCCATGCAGCGTCGTTTAGAAATACCACCTCTTTATTTCCCGCGGCTGGCGGCAGAGGGGGCCAGTGAGTCAAGGGGAGGGCTCACTCCCGCTCCCCCTGACTCTCAGCCTGGTGGTGGCTGCGTTGGTGAAGGAGCAGGAGACGTCTCTGGCCAAAGGCCTGGCCACAGCTGGCGCAGTGATGCCGGGCCGTGGCTTGGCTGCCCGGCGCGGTGGGGGGGTCGTGACATAGGCGATGGGCGGCCAGTTTGGAGGGGAATGAAAAAGCCTTGGGACAGTGTGGGCAAGGATAGGGGCGGGCGTCCGTGGCGTGATGTGTGTGTCGATGGGCAGCTAGTTTGGAGGGGTAGCAGAAGGACTTGGAGCAGTCAGGGCACGGGTAGGGGCGGGTGGGCGCGTGGGTCCAGAGGTGGGCTGCCAGCTTGGAGCGGTGGCCAAACGCCTTTGGGCAGTGCGGGCACAGGTGCGGGCGGGCGCCGCTGTGCGTGAGGCGATGGGCTGCCAGCTTGGAGGGGTAGGAGAAGGCCTTGGGGCAGTCGGGGCACGGGTGGGGGCGGGCGCCGCCGTGTGCCAACCGGTGCGTGGCCAGCTTGGACGGGTAGGAGAAGGCCTTGTCACAGTCAGGGCAGCGGTGCGGGCGCTGGGGCGGGGGCCGCCTGCGGGGTCGAGATGGCGCCCCTGTGGATGCAGCAGGCCCTGGAGCCGACTGGTGGGGCTTCTTGGACGAACCCTGGTGGGGAGCTAGGGGACAGTAGGGCTGATAGGCTCCTGGCAGCAGCCAGCTCCCTAAGTCTAGACTAGGCTTCCCCCCCAACTCCAGCCCACTTTGATATTCGAGTGTGTCTGGGCACTCAAGTGTCATACTGAAATTCCTCAACTGTCATGGTCACGCTCTCGACCCCTGCCATCTGTCATCCTAAGGGGTTCCAAAGCACTACCTACCTGTATCCCCAGAGCTAAGGCTTTTCCAAAGCTACTTAGGTGTCTGCTGCTAATATCTTCCCAAGTGATCACCCTGCAATCCTGCATGTCATGTTCCTTGTCTCTCCTGTAATTTCCTGAGCCCGAGAAATGATCATGAGAGTCCCCCAAAGCCAACCAGGAGGATCCCCCAGAACATCACATTTTGGGGATCCCAAACTGTGTTCACCCTGGGCCCTCAAATTTTTATCCGGAGACACCCTCCAAATGTGATTCTCTTAGCCCAGTTCCTGGAGAATGTCTCCCACCCACGCAGCCGTGGCCGCTCTCACCTCCTCCTTTGGTCACTTGTTCCTTGTCAGCAGGACGAGGATCGGTAGTGGCAGTGGCCGCGGCCTCGGCATCTCGCTCCAGCATCTTGCTGGCCCCGAGACCTAAAGGAGGGCCTAAAGGAGGGAGCGTTTATCAGGCTAATGGGGATAGGGCTGCAGGGCCTAAATTCAGGGGTTGGTCTTTTAGGGGGTCTGGGATCCTGAAGTGGAGACGCGAGTTGCAGGAAGGCGGAGCCTAAGAGCACCGTGGGCGGGGCTATGCAAATCTGACGCAGAGGCATTTCCTTTGCCACTCAGACCCAAGGTTGGAACCCCCGAGCAGTGTATTACTTGGGCCTCTACTACTTAAGCTCAACAGGGATCCCGGACGCAGAGAGGGCGGAGCCTCCCCATCAGACCCTCCCAGGCAGGGCGCTCACTACGCGAAAGGCCCGAGCTACACAAACAAGACCCCAAGTCGCCTGCTTTGAAGCTCAGACCCAGGGTTAGGGTCAAAGAACTCAATGGGTGGGATTTCACGTCGAAGAGGTAGCTTTACCTCGGCTTGGTCTCAGTCCATTGACGACGCCTGGACGGCTATATTTCTTCCTTGCTGCTGAATTTCATCTCCGGCGTGGAGTTGGGGCCGTGAAGGGTAGAGGGGAGACCTGGAGGAAGCCACAGAAAGAACGTGGCGTGTGTTGCGATCCAGAGAATCTTAATGGACTTCTCACTCCGGGTCTCAAGCGTCCGGGCCTCACTGCACCCCTCGGGATCATGGCATTCGAACACCAATGCACCCTCCCAAGGCTCAGACACCGATGCAGTCCCTCCGGAACCTATGTATCAGCACCCCAAACGATCCCACTCCGGGACATCCTAGCGTCTTGCCCCTGATCCCTGTAACGAAGACTAAGGCGTCTGGGCCGGGACTCCCGCACTCTCACCTGCGGACCGCCCCTCCCTGGGGGGCGGGGCTCTGGGCCCCTCCCGCGGCGGCCGCGGTCGCAGCCTCGCTGCCCTGGATTGCAGTGTGGTTGCACGCCGCGCATCCGGCGACCACAGGGGAAGGCGGGGAGCGCTCGCAAGCTGCTAGGCCCAGCCTCATTTCCATTCCCTCCTCCCACGCCGTGCTTGTCGGGGCGTTGGTACGCATGCGCAGTCACCGTCCGCGGAGGCAACTGCGGGGGAGACAGAATGGAAGGAGGGGGTGGGTGCGAAAAGCTTATAAGTTAGTAAGCGCAGAGCCGCGGGCCGAAGGACTGTAGGCAGTAAGAAAGTGTACAGAGGTTTGCGGGGCCTACGGTGGCTGACTGGAGTCAAGAACGTGCAGGAGTTAACACGGAGAGCTGCGCGTAGACCTCACTTAGACAGCGCCCAGCACTGGCACCTTCCCTTTTGTGTCCCATTTCTCTGAGAGCATTCCGCTGGGAGCCTGAGTTCCGTCTCTGGAGGCAGTTCTTAGAGCCAGTTGCCCCATCCACCCCTTACGGCGTTTCTAAAACATCTGGCTAATTTCTGGAGAGAGGGCGGGGCGGGGCGGGCTCGGGGCGGAGCTGATGCCCAATAAAAAGCACGTTATTTGCATAGCTCCCGGGCACCCCTCGTCACTGGGTTATTCCAGATTTTTTGGTCCTCCCACCCTAAAGACATGACCCAGGGGCGGGGCGGATGAGGGCGGGGGTAGCGAGGTGCCCAGGCCTTCGGTGTTCCGGAGGGGTTGGAGCTCCTGGTGCCACTCCTGTGGTGGCATGCTTTGCATCCTTCCGTGAGCAGTGACAATGCACCTTTTCGCCCTGCACAGGAATGATCTTGAAGTGCCCATAAAAATACCCTGCATGGGTGGTTCTTCAGCCTGATAACCCACAAGGTCTGGCGAGCCCTGGGAGCTGTGGGTGTTACCCCGAGGGGTTCTTTGGGCTCTGGAGCAAGATTGCCTGGGTAACTAGTTTGGAATCTTGACTCTGCCACTTTTTGGCTGTGACCTTGGGCAAGGACCTAATTTTTCTAGGCCTCAGTTTCCTCATCTATACAATCAAGTGTCGTTAGTATTAAATTCAGTAATAAGTGCGAAGTGTTTAAAACAGTGCCTACGGTGCCCAGTAAATGTTACCAATATTTTTGTTCTTCTTGTGAATTAAAATAGGGTCAATGTTGTCCCAGGAACAGCAAGTGAACAGACATCAAGGTGGGAAGGAACGGGCTGTGTTCAGAGGATCTCTTTTAACCTGCCCTGCCATGCTCCAGACTCGCTGACCTTCCAGTGCTTGTATGGGCTGTGGTCAGTCCCACCTCAGGGCCTTTGCACCAGCTGTGTTCTCTGTCCCCAAGGCCCTTCCTCCATCAGTTTGCTTGCTGATTCTGCTGTCAGATCTCTGCTGTTACTGCTGCGGGAGGCCTCTGCCACCCACCCTGTCTCATGGAGTCCCTTCCTTCCATTGCTCAGCCGTCTTGTCCCCTTTTTATGCGCTTAACATTGTATACCTGTCTTTGAGAATGCATGCTCTGTTAACATGGACAACTTGTTTATCTCGTTCATTTCTCTGTCCCCAGCATCCAGAGCAGGGCTTAGCTACATATCTGGTGTTCAAAAACACCCTGTGTCAAACGAATGCTTGAAAGAATTAACAGCCAGAAGCCCTCTATAATGAGAAGGTAGAATGGCGGGGGAAATGGCGAACTTGAGGTCAGGGAGTTGGCAATGGCCCAAACTGAATGGGAAACCATGGGAGGGTTTTAAACACATACAGTGACATGAGCTAGTCTAGGTTTTTGTCTACTTTTTTCTTTAACCATATTTCTAGGTTATGGAAAATTTCAAACATACACAAAAGGAAAGGGAGGGGGAGAGTGTAATTCACCCCCATATACCCAATATGCAGGTTTAACATGACCAATTTTGTTTCATCATCTCTGCACTAATCCTCCTTGAGCCCGCTGAATTATTTTGAAGCAAATTCCAGATATGTCACCCAGAAATACTTCAGTTTGCATCTCTAAAAAAAAAAAAAAAAAAAAAAGAACCCTTGCCCTGGCCGGAGAGCTCAGCTGGTTAAGAGCATTGTCCAGACCCGCCAATGTTGCAGGTTCAATTCCCTGGTCAGGACACATACAAGAATCAACTAATGAAGGCATACATAAGTGGAAAAACAAACCTATATTCCTCCCTGTCTCTCTAAAATCAATAAATTAAAAAAAATTTAAGAACTCTCCCTTTTAAACATAACCACAATATTGTTGACAGGAGAAACCTGGTTCTTCTTGCCGATGCGATAAAGAATTACAGATCAGCAAATCTATTAGTGTGCAAGCGGGGTTTATTGGTGATATGTTCTCATGGAGAAGAACGAGCCTTGTCAAGGTGGGGGAGGGGAGGCATAGGTTCAGGGCAAAGCAGGGTAAGGGCAGTGAAAGTAAGGGCAGACAAAGGCCAGGGTGGCAAATGCCCCTGGTCCTTTATATAGTTGGTGGGATGGGGTGAAGAAGTTTCAGAAACCTGGTGCCAGCTTCCATGGGGGGACATGATACTCACGCTTAGGTGTATGTGTAGGTCTGTTCACCTGAATCCTTACCTTGCTCCAGACTCTGTTTGTTCACCTTGTTGTAAAACAGATGTGTTGACAGGAGGCAATTAATTAAAATTGGGGCAGTTACCCAGAGTCAGTTATTACTCAGAAGGTGCGTGGAGGTGGGGAATAAAGGAGCAAAGTTGTCTCCTTGACTCTGAGATTTTGTAAGCCTCGCCTGAGGATATATTTATTGAATTTTTAGAGAGGGAGAGTGAGAGGGAGAGTGAGAGAGCGCGCGGGAGGAAAGGAGAGAGAAAAACTTCAATTGGTGGCCTTCCCATAGGAGCCCGACAGGGGCTGAGGATGGAACTGAAACCAGGGTATGTGCCCTAACAGGGAACCCGGCCGGCGACCTTTCCATCTCCCAGAGGACGCGCCAACCAGATAGGGTACACCGGCTGGGGCGCAAGATTATGTTTTGAAAGTGCTCTTCCTGGGAAGGAATAACCATTCCTGAAAAAAATACTTAGAAATTTAAAAATAAACTTTAATGGGATGGAGCGTTGTTCTGGGAGCCACACACCCACCGAGCAGTTCCTGAAGTGACCTGGAACCTAACTTTTTTTTTTTTTGGTCTGACACCGAGGAGCCAACCACACTCTTTTCCTATAAAATGGCCTTAGGGCTATGAGTGTATTGGGGTCTCTTGCTGGGTTCTCTGCCTGGGCTTCTCCCAGCCTCTCTCCCTAGCCCTCTGAATGTCTCCCTGTTTCTTCCTTTCTCGCCGTTATCTGGGTCTCTGAAGTCTCCCTCCGCCCCCAGTCCCGCCGCGCAGGGGTTGCGTTCCGGTTCCCCCGCCCCTAGCGTCCGCGGCCTCTTTAAGGCGGGCCCCGCCCCTGCGCCCTGGGTCCTTTAAGGCCGGCCCGGCCCTCGTCCCGTCTCGCAGCGCGCCGGGAGCACCCGCCCTCCGAGGACGCAGGCCTGGGCTCCGTCGCCACACGGCCGCGGGCGCGATGGCGGGGGCCGCGCTGAGGGTCGCCGGGCGGCAGCTTAGCCAGCACAGCGGGGCTGGAGCCCCCATCCTCCTACGGCAGGTGAGGGCTGGCGGGGCCGAGAGCGGATCCCTGGGCCCTGGGTGGCCGCAGGGGCCGAAGACCTGCGTCCTTTAAGTCCGGAGAGATCTTGGAGCCCCTGGGCTCGGAAGCGGATTCCGGGGTTCTGCACAGAAGAGGGCGCGGGGCCTCACTAGGAAGTGGGGACGGTTCGGTCCTGGTGAAGTTGCTGGGGCCCCAGGCTCCTGACTCGGGCGAAGGAAGTGCGTGGGGCTCCTGCTCCTGGCTCTGAGGACCGAAGTCGAGTCGAGGCCTGGCCTCGCAGGTCCCCAGTGAGTGGGTCTGGTCCTGCGCTCTTACAGGCCCCCTTTCGCCCCCTTCCCAGATGTTTGAGCCCAAGAGCTGCACCTACACGTACCTCCTGGGGGACAGAGAGTCCCGAGAGGCCATTCTGATCGACCCAGTTCTGGAGACCGCGCATCGAGACGCTCAGCTGGTCAAGGAGTTGGGGCTGCGGCTGCTGTACGCCGGTCAGTCTTGGCTGGACTTCTGGCCGGAGGGAGGCGGGCGTGCGGTCTGGGAATCCTCCGTGCCCCGTGCCCTCCTGGACCTGAACTCTTCTCTCTCCCAGTGAACACCCACTGCCACGCCGACCACATTACAGGCTCGGGGCTGCTCCGGTCCCTACTCCCTGGTTGCCAGTCTGTCATCTCCCGCCTCAGTGGCGCCCAGGCGGACCTACACATAGAAGATGGACAGACCATCCACTTCGGGCGCTTCGTGAGTTGGGTGCTGGGTCTTCGAGGGGGTGGTGGCCTGGACTTGGGCTCAAGGGAAGAGGAGGCTGGGGGCCTGGGTTCCTCAGTCCTGGGGTAGGAGGGGTTCCTGACCCTGAGCTTTTGTCTCTGGGAGAACGGTGCCATTAACCCAGGCGGGGCACTGGGGCAAGAGTCTCTGGGGAGGTGTGTCGCTGGCCGAGCCCCTTAAGCAAACAGCACTTACGCAGTTTCCTTCGGTTTGGGGGCAGCTCCTTTGACCTGGCATCTCCATAAAAGTTGATTGGGGGCTGGAATGCCAAGACCGGGGCTGAAGGGAAGACCAGCCCCGCCTTCTGAGAGCCACTCTTGGAGGAAGTAGCAGCCTGTTGCCCAGGGTCAGGAGTAGGGTCAGGCCAGTGCGGCGCCGAGGGTGCAGTGTGCGAGGAGGTGCTCACTCTCAAGGCCAGCCCCTTCCCTTGAACTTGCCTCCTTAAATGTTGCGTCCTAGGCTCCTTGCCTCACCCTGGCCCCAGCTGTGCTATTATTACCTCACACCAGAATGGTCTGAAGATTCCTACTCTGCCTTTCCTTTCTTTGCCACAGCATAATCGGCAGGTTTCTGGCCAGAGTTTCAACCCAGGGCAATGCAGAGGGGTGGGTAGAGGGGTGGGCAGGGCACTGGGAGGAGTTGCCCTCAGAGAGCGGGCAAGGCTTTTTCTGATCAGAGTTGCTAAAGAGGCAGAGAGTTAGGCTGACATTGGGGACAGAATGTCAGGTGACAGGGTGAGGACTCACC